TGCCACTCACCTGTCACATCAGAATGAAATTCTATAGCCACCAGCCTGCACCCAAGCTCAGTTGCTAAGACATTCCCTCCCCCTTGCCCTGCCATGTTTATAAATAGCCTACGCCTTCCTCAACACCACTGGACACGACTTCATTTACGCTGCTGTGCACCATTATTCTGTTGTCTGCCACCACACCTCGCTTGCTCCATTCTAAGTTTTGTCAGCCCTACTCCAACATCCACGAGCGCAATAAATAAGCAGACTACCAAAGCTAAGTCTGAAATGTACGGTGCAAACTCCAAAAGAAGGCCCTTCGGAGAAAGACAACTGTGGTATGCATATTCTCATCCATGATTCGGTAACCTCACCACCAGATTTTTATGTGGCATAAAAACAGGTCAGCGAAAACCTGTAGGCAGGCCATCATTACTTGACTCTTTAGGTCAGCGGGTTTCCAACCAGCAGCCTGTGCAAAAGCCTACTGCCAGGCATAAATTTACTGTTTCAAATTCAAATTCTTGAACTCCAGTTAAAATGTGTTGGGGCTGCACGCTGAAAGATACTAACAGCTGTTGCATTCAGATATTAAGTCAATTCAAAGAAAGATGAAGCTCTTAATATGCAAGATCATGCTTTCCTTTATCCAGATTCTAGCATCATAAAAAAATGACATCTTAGTTATAAACTTGAGAAACAATAGAAAAATCTTTCAGATCAAGAGAAAAAAGAAATTTTTTTTTTTTTTTTAAGAGGGGACACTGAAGTAAAGTGTGCACATATGTATATACATATGTATGTACATATGCAGACACATGATGTAATTTTCGGATATTTTCCAAATAAGTATTCACATTCTGCTAATGTGAATTAACTGAAGCACAGTATGAGAATTGAAGCACAGCCTCAGATTTTATTTAGAATGAGTTCAGCTTCTCCACATAATTGTGACAACGAACCTGAGTTTATTAACATGCTACTGTTGAAGCTAATAGTAGGCGCTTCGATGTGAAAGCAAACAAGCTACTATCATCCGCTCTCTTAAAAGAAGAGGTTACAACATCATTCATACCTTCATTATTAGTAGCATTTTCTGTCACTGGTGCAGTGGCACTAGTTCCTGCTGCCATATCCAGAAGAGGCTGAATTATTTCAATTTTAAATACTCCGTTTTTCTGCCAAAGGTTCAGGACGCGGACTATTTTACTCTGTTGAAACAAAAACAAGCATCAACGCTAAATACGGCTTTCCAAATTTCACAAATTCCAAATTTACCTTCCATAGGTTGAGAAGAAAGGTTTGAACAACACAGGACTTCAACACGACCAGGCATACCTATTTAACAACCCCTGTTGTCATACGGGTCAGCAAGACCTTTTGCACGGCCAAGATGAAAACTGCCAGCTTGTTTTACTATCCGCTCTAATAAAAAGCAACTCCTGCCATTTTTCTAAAACCGTTCTGGCCAGTCAGGAAATCCAGGTCTGATGTACAATAGAGGAATCCACGTCAGCCCCACCATTACTTCACAGTCACAAAGGTGTGAAACAAATAATGAATGCCACAAGACAGACAGACAAAGTGAAGATGAGCCAGAAAATCCTAATGAAGAGGGGAGCAACTAGACTATAAACTGCTAGAACAAAGCTTTGAAGTTAAAAGATTGTTTACCTAAATTTTTTTTCTACTCATCCACCCAATTCTATGTTGACACCAGAAAACTCATCCCCATCATTATTCAAAATACCAGGAAAGCAAGTGGAAAACATTCTAACTGCATAAAGATTAAATTAGAACCTCTGATTGTCAGCTGTTATTTTAAGCCCATTACTTTTTTTAGCATTAAGAACACTGAAGCTTTCAGGAACAAGCTGGAAATTAGCCTTTCCTTCTTGAGCCCAGTATTAAACAACATCTAACTGCCCGTGCTGCTTCAGTTGAACGTGCTAGCAGGTAAAAGTCAGAATACATGTATAATTGATAAACCTGTCCTTTTTGTATACTTAAGTCATCTGACTGGCACACATACACCTTTTAAGTACTTTTTACTTTTACTGTAGCTGTTAAGAATGAACTGATTCTGTTCCTTCTTGTTTCAACAATTAAATGCCTTACTGTGACTCAGTTATATATACCCATGAACATCCACCTATTCTTTCATACGCTAAGCAATTGAAGAATTTCACAAAATGTTTTTACAATTAAACCAATTAGAGATAAACCTGAAACATCTATTTTAAAATAAGATTTTGGACTAATAAAACAGTTCACTTTAAAATAGCAGCATTTTTTGGCTTTGAGTACTCCCCTGAAGACTGGAAAATAATAGGAAAGCAAAAACAAATGAATACATTCAATACTCTTGTTTTCAGTCACATGTTAGTCTTACAGAAAGGCTGTTAAAAAAGAAGTAGTAGGATCGTTCTCTTTGGATTCAACCACAGTTGTCGTGTATCTGAGGATCAGGGTGGTTTTTTGTTTGGGTACTGGAAATCCATTAAAGCAAGCATGTTATAAATAGTATTATTCTCCTAGTGGAAAGCACCTTAATTATTTTAGCAGTGAGCTATCAGGTAGTTCCACAAAGGAGATGGATAGTCTAATTCATTTAGATGAGCAAAATGGTAACCACAAGGACAGAAAGAAGGGACTGCTTTGTCTCACCTGGGTACTAAGCCAGAAGCTCCAGAACATCAGATTCAAGACTTAAAGGTCTAAATGTTCCACATTAGAAAACTACAGACCATCAAAGCCTTTCAACAGCTTAGTTAGAAAGTTAGGGGAAAAAAATCAGTCAGAAAAAGTGTATTTTGCTCTTACAGTGCTACAAGAAGAGCGAGTGAGCTCTTTTTCTTCCATTTTCTGGAAACCAATTGGTAACTTCTAAACCAAACCTATCTTGGTCTTCTGAAATTGTTCTGACAGACGGCGTAAAAGCCATCTCCTGTTGGTAGAATCCTGGACCATCATGAATTCAGAATACTTTCTGAAACTCTGCTCTATCAGCAAGTACAGAAAATCTAAGAAAACCAAGGCCTTAAACCAGCTTTGACAATGGAGAGCAGCAATGAAATTCTCAAGTACAGGATTTGTAAAGACTGAGGAAGTCAAGATGGTGATTTTCTTAGAAAGTATTTGGGAGCAGAACCTTCACTGCCTACAATACTGGAGCTTCTTCCATAATGTTTTCTTTCTGCGGGAAACACCATCTTCGATACTAAGTTTTCCTGAAGAAACCTCAAGAAGAAATGTTTTGGCGTAGTCGCACACACTGCTGAAGTGTCTGCATGGGCAAAACAAAACTGAAGTAGTTAGGCAAAATAAATACTTAAACTAGAACTTGCAGTTTGCTATCATATTTGATAATCTTTCTCAACATGTTTATTGTATTTCATATAATAAGATTCACTACCATGGAAACACCAAGGTAGCACTGCTACCAATTCACAACAAAACTTGACAAATTAGAGTTGTACCTTGTCTTCAGATGGACAGAGATACAAATACTGGAATGTGGCAGTAATGTTTTTAGAGAATCTTGGCCCAAAAACATCTTTGTCTGTTCCAAACTGGTGACGAGACTGACGAACAATAGAGTCAATAACGTACAATCCAGGGACTTTATATTCCGGTTTGCACTGAAAAACATAAAGATGGTTTTCCATTATGCAGCAATACTAACAAGGTAACATGCATTCACCTTAGATCCTTACACAAAATCTAAACTTAGTACACTTGCTTAGAAAAAAAATTAATTTGTCCCATGAAAACCCACTTATTTTTTATTATTTTCATTACATATTATTAGTAGTATTGTTAATATTCTTAGTATTGCTGTTTAGTTAAATTATTTTAAATTATTAAATTGTTAAATTGTTTTTATCACAACTCAAGAGTTTCCTTGTCTTTTCCTCCAATTCTCCTCCAATGGCAGGGGGGAGCAAGTAGCTGTGTTGTACTTAGTTGCTGGCTGGGATTAAACCCCAACAGTCCACCAAAAAATTAGTGCTTTACTTTCATTTTGTAATTAGAAATGGAAAAGAAAGGAAAAAAACCTGCTTTCTCATTTGGGACAGAGTAAATATACCTGGACAGCTTGAAGCAGCCTTATCTTGTCAATCACTGCTTTTAAAGTACCTTTATAGCTTGACAGTATGTGACTGCAACAACAGGTCTCCTGCAGTACAGTACAGACTGCCACAACTCTGCTATCAAGCTACCTCACACTCAGTGCACTGAACTACTTCCACCAACTATTTTCCGGAATTCAACGTAACGTCCTTCTCTGGACATCTCTGAAAGACTTTGAAAGAAAACGGAGTATTTTTCCTGTTCACACAGAGGAACTTTCTTAAGGCAGCATGATAGCTTGGTTTTACTGAGTATTACATTCTAGCCTATCATTACACGCCTAGGCAAGCATGAAAATGGTATTTTCTGAAAATATGTATTATCTTAGCCAGTGAAAATTTTTAATCTGAAGTTCAGTACCTCCAGTTGCTGGGCAGAGGAAGAAGGGGGAATTTTTTTTTTCCTCCCCTTCTTAACTTACTACAGAAAACTACAGTGAGGAGATTATATAGTCAAAGAGATACCAGAATGTATAAAATCCTAAAAAATTAGAATTTCCTCCCTCAATCCCTGAATAACATAAGACCTTTTGGTTATTTACTAGCATTATTAATAACAACTAGTAACAGATGCAAACAGTATCTTTATCAGTAGATTACTTTTTTTTTTTTACCTTTTTGATAAACTTCTCTACGATCTGGACAACATGCTTGTACAGCTGGAAAATAAATACACAAATTAGTTTATCACAGTGACTGATAATTTTAGTAGTATTTTAACTCTTTGTGCTTACTATGATTTAGGAAAGACTACAAAATACTGTAGTCACATTCTAAAAAAGTATGTTATAAAGCTAAGTTAACCCAGCACAGAGAAAGGGATTTCATAGGCGGAACAGACAGAAACAAGCCATCCTGTCTGTGAGAAGTACGTCAGTGAGTATCCAAAAGACACACTGCTTCTACAGCGTTAAGAGTTTTCTGGATTTACTTTCTAAGTAAGTCTGCTGTTTCAATATGCTACGGTGCAGTTGCACCCTGCCACATGAAAAATTTCATTATATAGAAATCACAACACCTTAGTGGGTGTAGCATTAAAAAAGCAGTGATTCAACCAAAAAAAAAAAAAAAATCAAGCTGGCATTATGCTACTAGTCTAAAACCAAGAGATGATATTCACCACCCACTTGTTTCTAGATAAAACATTCTAAACGCCAGCTAGAATAAAACAACCATGAAGCTAAGATTGGGAAATTCAATGATGCATTTGTTTAGAAGTAAAATAATTAAACATCGCTACTGTTACAGTTCCACATTTGTTCTATTGTACTTTACCTTAATAGCTTTAATGGCAGCTTTTGTGATGAGAATCATTTTTGCTCGAGAAATCGGAGGTTTCATCTCCATCAGTGAAAAGAGCTGAACAGACAAAACAAATATTAAAAATGTATTATGAGGTTTAAGCAGTTAACCAAAAAGACAACATTTCACACAACTGACTGATTACTGACATTCCACACCATGTATCGCCACAACACCAGTTGGCCCTTGAGACAGAGAGACCAAGAGGCAGACCTTTCTAGGCCACGTCCAAAGCTATCTGCCTTGCGAACTAACCCATATTCACCCATTTACCAGGTTTTGATAAGGCTGCAGCCAAAGTTCCATTTGTGTCTAAAAATTAGTATCTGCTAACTTATGGTACAGGCATTGCTAACTTACGGTACGGGAACTTGCTATTTTACAAAATTAATATACACCAGAAATAACTGCAGCTTGGTTAAAATTAGCCTGAGTATCTGCTTACCAAAGAGAAATATTAGGACAGCCCTACAGATAACTAGACCGACATCATCCTATAAACTCAAACCAATGTGCATAAAAGTATGACAACTTTCATCCATCAAGGTGATCAAATCAATCAAATTATCCTACTATGTATGTCACTGCAAATGTCTTCAGTGGTGATTTTACCATTTCGTTTGCTACGACCATACCTTATTATTATTAAAATTAACTGCATCAACTGTTTCGGAGAATCCTCTACACTATTCTCCATACCAATGTCACCCTGTGGAAAAGTTAATCCCTGAAGTTTACAGAAGTTACTTGTCTTCACAGATGACAGTTGGAGGTACTCTGTGAAACCGACTTAAGAGAATAATTCTGATCTCCTTTCTATAAAAATAGCCCAAACACACTATTTTAAAGAAATTTAATTGTAAGTTAAGAGTGCTATTCTGTTAAAACCATTAAGCACAAAAAGGGATTCTGCTGTGCTAAATGTAAACACCTTTTTTTTAAAAAAAAAAGCCTGAATTCACAGGCTATATTCTATATTCAAAACATGTGGGATACAGGTAGGATGTTCAGCTCTCCAAATCTGAAAGTGTGACTTTTCAGAAAGAAAAAACACCCAAATTTAATTTTCACAAATAGCATCACCTTGACTTACATCTCATGTGTGAGGAAATCTAGTACTAAACACTTTCAAAAAGCCTTGAACCTAGGCGTTCAGAGAAGACACCGCGCACTCTCCAGTATTGACCGTAACTCTGAAAACAAGTATTAGCTTCACATTTCAGAAACTGAGATAAACTGAATCTTGAACACAGAACTGTCAGAGCTAAACATCCGTGAAGAGCTGAACACAGAAAGCTCAGAGAAGAGGGATACACGATCCTCCAGACTCCAGCACCACCTGAACAGCATGACATTCTTACTGTATTTTGCGTCCTGTAGAACATTGTAAGAGAACTGGGAAGTAAGGAATTTGGGGAAGGGGTTTTTTTTTTAAATAACTGTCCTATAGTCTGGCACACATAAGCATGCACTCACACACACACACCCCCCCCGGAAGACAGCAAAATCCAACGCACATTTCACCACTTTCCAGACCACCCTGCCTACTCTGGATCGACAGTGAATCCTACATACGCCATAAGCTGACGCTGTAATTTCATACCATAAAATAACCAGTTGCAAAAATTACACCGCATACTACGCTATGGGGTTTTTTTAATGGGGTACTGTGCACACTTCTGTTCTACTAGTCATTAGACCTGGGCTTGTCAGGACCATTCTCTGTCTCCAATCTTCCTTCCCATCTTCCAAGCAGAAAGAGAAGCCAGAACCCCAGTACTACTTTTTAATTCCTCCTTCTGTATCACAGCTCATGGTTAGGTGCTCTGCTTCATTAAATATTACTTTCTATTCTTCCCACAAACTTTATTTCCTATTTAAGCTGTGGCTTACTAAAGGTAGGATCGTTATATTGTCATGATTTGTATAGTGCAAAAAACCAGAGATTTTCAGCATTTCCTACACACACATAATCATTTTTACCGTGAAACATTCCCCACAAATCATAGAGAAAATGGTTTTGCATTACATAATTTGATTTTGCTCTTCACAATAAAGGAAAAATACAGCCCTTGCACACTTGTCAAAAATATAGTCAATTATTTGCCACAAAGCAAAATAAGAGAAGTATCTTCATATGACAGTGTAATGGAAAGTAAGAAGCCATTTAAAAATTAATCTCTTATTTTTCTGTTGAAGTTCCAAGATCCTTGTGAAGTGACCAACTTACACAGATTTATTCACCACCTGAATTAAGGAAAAAAAACCCGCAATGCAGAAGACTAAACAAAATGGCCAAATATTTAAAGGCAAGTGAAGCGATCACAAGACTTTCAGCAACACAAAATAAAAGCCTTGCACCAATAAAATACAAAGAGTAGACAAGAAAGTATTCACTTTCTTAATTTGATTCCTGTTCCTGGAGATACAAAAGAAGAACTATTGTCCTTCAAGTCAGTGGTAGACAGATACCTTTTCCAAATCCAACGTCAAGTGAAGACCATCACTTTTCATCACTAATCTCCATAAAAGGCAAATTCTAGTGCCAGAACGTTTGATTTTTAAAGCCATTCAAGCTGTAAGACATACTTCAGCTAACATCCCTGCTTGCTGACAAATCACAGTACAGACAAATAAAAACTGTCAGATAAAAGACAGGAGAGAGGTGTCTGTGAGTTGACTTGTTAAAAAAAAAAAAAGAGCTTAATTTCAATTTTGAATTATGTTTCTTTAGAGTAAATGCAAAGACTCGATGAACAAAGTCATTGCTATTATTAAAACTCAGGACAATCTGTTTTAAGAAGTAATTAAAAAAATCCAAACACCACAAAAAAACCAACCACAAAACCAAAAAACACCACCCACAAACAAGCTACCAGAAGGCTTGAAAAATGAGATGGAGGAGGAAAAAAGCAGCCAACATCAAAACAGGCACTCCATATCCTTTCCTTTACACACCAAGAAGCAACTGGTCCTCCAGAAAAGGAGCCAGTCCCATGTAACAAGAACAAAGAAGCCAGTGTGAAAGCAGCTCTTCAGCGTTCGTATTTCAGGAACGCAACCAGAGAGAACCAGGAAACTGGGAGAGCTCATAGAGCCGGGCAGAAGATGACAATGAACTAGTGGCAGCAAAAAATAAAAGGAAGCATCTTAAAAAGTACCCTAAGAATGATGTTGCAACTGGGGAGGGGGAAATATCCAAGAAGAAAGAAACTGCCAGAGGGCAGGCAAAAAGGCAATCAGTTAGATGCACTGAAGTAGCCAGGGAGAATGCAATAAAGAATATGGTAGCTTGGAGAAGTCATTAATTAAAGAACACGAGAGGCTGAAACTTAGGCTAATAACGCAGGAATAAACACAAGCTTTGGAAGAAGAGGACTGAGCAGATCACCGTCAATTGTTCCTTTGGTGTTACAGACAGCACGCTGGGCAACAGCAACAAAAACACAGTAAAAGCAATGAGGTCAGTCACACAGGTATTTCCAGCTCAGGATGAACTACAGCTGAAACATGCATCAAACTGAGATGCAAACATTTTATATATAAATATAGATGCACACATACATATATATGTATATACATATATGTATCCTGCCCTCTGCTCACATACACCCCCATCACCATCTCCTGGAATAGCACATCAAAACTTCGTTGCCTTTTAAAATTTTCATAAGATGTCAGAACACCGAACAACTATTTTAAAGCTGATTTTTATTTAATTTTCAGTATCATAGCTACATGTGTCAAAACCATGTTTTCAAGATGGGTAAATCTAAAATTTAACAATCTTACCAGTTCCTCGTGGATTTTCACTGTTAGGAGGAGAAACTGTTCAGTAAGACGCCCATGTACTTTACATTTGCATATGTTCGATTAGACTTGGATCTTTGTTCATACACATTTCCCAAACTACTGTATGAAAAAAAACCAACCACTATTTTCAGAGGACCATCCTTCCAATAATAATTTAATTCCTCAAGGGCACCATGATCAGCTCAAGAAACAACCTGAGACACAAAAACTTACACTTTAAAAATAAAAAAAGAAACGTGACGGATGTAACAGAGGCAATGATAATTTGCAGCTTGAGAATGTTTCCAGTGTACTGCCTCACAACAGGGGCCTGTCCCTGGAATGCTCTGCCCTGTAAAGCTTGACCTCCTAGAAATGACTTGCTGGTTTTACCGACCATAAGTGGATGTTTGGAGACCAAAAAAAAAAAAAAAGCTCATAGTTGCTCCCTACCTTCCTTCCCCACATAGTGACACCACTGGCTAAAGAAAAAAGCTATTCCTACTGCCCACAGCCTCCAGTCCATTCATTTGGCAATGAAACCCAAGCAGGATATCCCGTTCACTGGGGGGTGGTGTACTATAGGTGAGAGACAGCAGGGGGAAAAAATGAAGTGAAACTTTAAGTAAGAACCAATTAATTCAAAAACTATTCAAGACTTGTACCTTTATTCAGTTTTGATCATTTCAATAGTTTAAGAAGAATCGTCTGCGTGGATTTCTTCATACACAAGGAAAAACTAATGTAGAAAAACTAGCAGAAAAGCTTAGCCACAAAATGTTATCAAAATCATTAAGGCAAAGGTCGTAAGAAAAACTTTCCTGTTTCAATTACAGTAGTCTCACCTGTTGAAAGTAATATGAAAAACCCACACTTCTGTTTTATACAAGCTCTAGCTTAGGATACAATTTCAGTGTAAGAACTTCCAAATATTTCTGGAACCTCCCTATACTTGAAAGTCTGTGCACTGCAGCTGCATGTTTTTAAAAGGAATAATTTGTTTGTTGCTCCATATCAACCCATGTACTACAAAAGAAGTGGAGGTATTAAAGAGCCTACAAAACTCATGCCACAATTCAAAGTGTTGATCCAAGAGTATCTCTGTGTACTTTTCACAACAGTACAGAAGTACAGAATAAAACATCTACAAAGCCAAGAACCTCAAAGGCAGAAAAATCACCTGCTCATTTTCAGGCTAATGAATGCAATTAAATAATAAAGATGAGCCACTCATTAAACTAGAGAAGATAGCAAAAGGAAG